CACTTTTCATCGCAGTTTTCTAGTCAATCTTACTAGATCTTCCATTATTCTAAAATTCGCTGATCATTTCTCTCAAAACTACGTCAGGATACAAATTAGAAGCGTGAGGGGGTCCAGCCACCTTAAGTCCTGATGGTTAGGACCGTTGTACCATTTGTTTAATACAACMCAGACTTGTTGTACTTCTGAATGTCAGTAAACGTTTTGTTTTTGTTTGTTTTTTTATTTTTTATAAACTACCTAGGAGATATCTTACGCAACACTTACCTTTGCCTGTACTGAATATGGCTATCAATTGCTTTATTCACGAATTCCTTAAATGCACCCGCGTTGTCAGCCTTTGGTCCCAAGAACCACGCTCCGGTTTTCGCCCATGGTTTACTCTTGTCGTCCACATTGTCAAAATTTGGCCTTCTTTGCTGATACATGGGAGCCTTTCCTTTGCCCGCACCAGTTTTGCAACCATACATTCTTGAAATTCCACGTCTCCTTTGTCCTATGGCGAGAAAATTATATTTAAAAAAAAAGTAATTTAAATTTATCGATCAAATTTTGCGTGCATTTCAAGATTGTTATGTTGAATAAGTAAGCATGACTACACGCAATTTGCTTGGAAAGCAAAACTGTGCAAAAAAAAAATTCGGTTTGACTGCATTCGAACTCTCTCAGTGGGCCTTTGTGCTTAAGGCAAAGATTATTAGAAAACGGAGAAAGAGATCAAACTTGCCTTTGTGTGTGGGTGTGTTTTTAAGAGTCGAGCGCGTTAACCACTGCGCAACCCGTTCTTCCCATACTAAAACTATAACGTAGGGAATGAATGGTCAAGTTAGTTCTTATACTGCTTACCTTGCTTAACTTAAAAGTATTTCTGTTCCAAGTCAGCTACATGAAATGTATTGAACACAGCTACATCTGTCTGCAATTATATGAAGAAATGTCCCCTCCCCTCCCAAAAAAAAAGATTCTGATTGGCTGGAACTGGTATAAACCTGTCATGTGGATTGATTGAGCAATAAGCATGAAATAGCTTTTCGAGTAAGCCACACATCAATTACTTAAATTTTCTGTTGTCTCATTTCAATTGTTGGACGAATAATGAGGTAACTACTGCCTTGTAAAATGYCAATCAGAGATCAAAATGCCGTGATGAACTGTGGCCATCAAGACCACAACCCTTGGGACTCTTTATTATTGAGTTCAAAAATTGTGTTATGAGACTTTTTGGAACTTAGTAATAGAGTCCGACCCAAAGGTCATGGTCTTGGTTGCTACATGGAGCTCAGATTTTCTTTGTTTTGAGGTGGGGCAGAACAATTTAAAAGTTGTATGCCTCTTAAAGATGAAATATCTCTACTCTCAGACACATTGCACATCCAACATTATACTTGCTGTCGTAAAAAAACGAAATGCATGTCAAAATCACCTCTTTAAAACTTGAATTGTATACATATTTTGTTACATAAGGTTGCCATGGGACAGAAATATTTTTCAAAACCTGTTCTTTGAATAATGAATAACTTTGCACGYAAGACATTGATGACTGAGCAAAACATTCTCGTTACAAAAATGTACGTATAGTTGTTTAAAAAACAAGAATTTATTAAAAATACCTGACCATAATTTTTGCCTAATTGATATTTTATTCCACAGGTCGAGAACGAGAACTC